GAAGCACCTTTGAGATAACCATGACCTGGATGGTTAAAAATCTCCATAGACATTTATCTAGTCCAGGGGTCTCCAACCTTGGCAACTTTAAGTCTGGAGGACTTCAACTCCCAGAATTCCACAGCCAGCCATGAATAATAGAGTTGGAAGAGACCAGAAGGGTCATCTAAATCAGGGGTCTCCAACCTTGGCAACTTTAAGCCGGGCGGACTTCAACTCCCAGAATTCCACAGCTAGCCATGAATGATAGAGTTGGAAGAGACCAGAAGGGTCATCTAAGTCAGGGGTCTCCAACCTTGGCAACTTTAAGCCTGGCGGACTTCAACTCCCAGAATTCCCCAGCCAGCCATGAATGATAGAGTTGGAAGAAACCAGAAGGGTCATGTAAGTCAGGGGTCTCCAACCTTGGCATCTTTAAGCCTGGAGGACTTCAACTCCCAGAATTCCCCAGCCAGCCATGAATGATAGAGTTGGAAGAGACCAGAAGGGTCATCTAAGTCAGGGGTCTCCAACCTTGGCAACTTTAAGCCGGGGGGACTTCAACTCCCAGAAATCCCCAGCCAGCCATGAATGATAGAGTTGGAAGAGACCAGAAGGGTCATTGTAAGTCAGGGGTCTCCAACCTTGGCAACTTTAAGACCTGTGGACTTCAATTCCCAGAATTCCCTAGCCAGCCATGAATGATAGAGTTGGAAGAGACCAGAAGGGTCATCTAAGTCAGGGGTCTCCAACCTTGGCAACTTTAAGCCTGGATGACTTCAACTCCCAGAATTCCCCAGCCAGCAAAGCTGCTAAGATTGGAGACCCCTGGCTTAGGTGACCCTTCTGGTCTCTTCCAACTCTATCATTCATGGCTGGCTGGGGAATTCTGGGAGTTGAAGTCCACCAGGCTTAAAGTTGCCAAGGTTGGAGATCCCTGACTTTAGTTTTTAAAAAAAAAAAATACAAAAAAAGATAATTTAGACATAAAATGTGGGAGCAGGGCTACCATAACAAGAAGCGCTAACTGAAGAAATGGGTCGGTTTCATGAGCCCCATTGGGAGTGAGTTGGGCACATGGGGCTCCCCCTATAGCTTCTAAGATTGCTGGACAGCTCTGGGCCGCCTCCTTTTTCCGCGATCCAACTGTGCCCTCCTGTGGTCACAACTGCAAATCATGCTCTCTTTTTTTTGGTCTTCCGTCAGCATCCAGATGTTTTCTTGAAACATAGAAGGATACCTGTCTTGTCAGCGTGTGATCAGAGCAGTGCATGAGCCTTGGTGGCGCAGCGGACTAAAGTGCTGTTAAAGTAGCACTTAGCTGTCAGCTGCCTGCAATTACTGCGAGTTCGAATCTCACCAGGCTCAAGGTTGACTCAGCCTTCCATCCTTCCGAGGTAGGTAAAATGAGGACCGGGATTGTGGGGGCAATAAGCTGACTTTGTATAAAAAAGAACACCACTTAGGGGCCCCCCGAAAGCCCTACTAAGCAGGTATATACAAAAGTATGAAGGCTATTGCTTAACGCATTGTAAGCCGCCCTGAGTCTCCGGAGAAGGGCAGCATATAAATCGAACCAATAAATATTATTGTATATCAATAAAGGAGAATATTTTGTAGCTGAGGGTTGAAATGAGGGTTCCTTGGGGCTGTGATTTTCTTGCAGACGTTTCCTGACCCAACTAGGGAACATCATCAGTGCCAGAAGAGAGTTGAGTTTGCAGAGGGGGGGAGGAGGAGTGCTGATAGAGAAGGAGAAGGAGGAAAACTGTTGGGGTTCCTCGTTGCTCTCTGAGCTTGGTGTTTTCTTGCAGACATTTTGTTGCCAAAGTAGGTAACATCATCAGTGCTGGTAGCTAACGGGACTAGCACTGAGTTTGGGTAATGAAATGCCTGCAAGAAAACCATCCAACACAGAGAGCACCAAGCACCCCCCAGTTCTCCTCCTGCTCTACCACCAGTTTTCCTCCTCCTCCTCCTCTTCCTCCCGCACCTTCCTTCAACTCCACAAACCCCACCTCCTTCTAGCACTGATTATGTTCCCTGGTTGGGTCATGAAACATCTCCAAGAAAACCACCAAGCTCAGACAGCACCAAGGACCCCACAGTTCCCCATCTCCTTCTTTACCTCCAGTCTTCTCTCTGCAAACCCCACCTCCTTCTAGCACTGATGATGTTACTTAGGTGGGCCATGAAACGTCTTTCAAGAAAACCACCAAGCTCAGCAAGCACCAAGGACCCCACATGTCACTGCGTTATGTATTTGTCAGCTGAGCTTCCATCCTAAGACTTACGGTAGCCTGCCAGAGGACTTTATCATGTCTTTGTAGCAACAGAGATGAGTCTGTCTTGTGAGACATTGGACTTCTGCGCATGTCTACATTCTTTCTTTTCTAACTTCCTGATCTTTTTCTTTTGTCCGGTAATGATGTAGTTAGTAAGTTTGTTTTATTTCTTTATAATAAAATCCTTATTAGAATATATACTTCGGGTTTTCTTTCTTTGAAAGTATACAGCATGGAAAACAAGATCCATTCACCCCTAATTAATTAGTTTCCCCAAGGGGGGAACGAGACTGATTCACGCTTCGACACCACAGTCCTCCCTCTCCCCCGCCTCCTTTTCTCCTTCTCTACCAATCCCACTCCCTCCTAGTACTGGTGATGTTACCTAGTTGGGTAATGAAAAGTCTGCAAGAAAACAACCAAGCTCAGAGAGCACCAAGGCTCCCTCGGATTATTGCTTGCACAAAGCTAGGAAGATTCAACACTCCCCACTAGGAAGGAAAGTTGGCAAAGCTGAAAGATTTTGGAAGGATGGATAAATTTGACTTCTCGCATGAGAGAAAATAATAACAGAGTTGGAAGGGACCTCGGAGGTCTTCTAGTCCAACCCTGCTCAAGCAGGAAACCCTAAAGTCACACAGTATCTCACTTAGGCTGGCTTAAAAATCTTTTTAAAAAAATAATAAAAATAGGGTGTTGTTGAGACGATAACACCGCATGTTGAAAATGCATGGATGGGGGAAAGAATACAGCGGGGGCATTTCTTTCTTCTTCTTTTTTTGAATTTTTTTTTATTTTTAAACATAACAAAACATAAAACAACCATCATCCATTATCGGGCCTGGTAGCTCAACAGACTAATAGCATTGTGATTAACACCAGCTGTCTGCAATTACTGTAAGTTCGAATCTCACCAGGCTCAAGGTTGACTCAGCCTTCCATCCTTTCTAAGGTAGGTTAAATGAGGACCCGGATTGTATAAACTGACTTTGTATAAATATACAAAAGTATGAAGGCTATTGCTTAACGCACTGTAAGCCGCCCTGAGTCTCCGGAGAAGGATATAAATCAAATTAAAAAAAAAAAAAATCACAAAAAGTGTGTCAATCGGTTACAATTCTTTTGTGCTTAATCCCATATGCAAAATTTACAAGTTATTTAATTTCTCTTATTTGACAATTTTTTTATATCCCTTTGTGCTATTATTCTCATTTAACAATTATTTAACAATGGCCTGTCTCCCATAAAAAAAATCGCTTCATATATTTTATCATTACATTTATTTCATATTTCATACTTCATTTCCATGCTTTATTATCTAGCCATTGATAAAATAAATCCCGTGTCATATAATACTGTTTGTCTTCCTGTTCTCTAATTTATTTATTTATTTATTTATTTATTTATTTATTTATTTATTTATTTATTTATTTATTTAATTTCTATACCGCCCTTCTCCCGAAGGACTCAGGGCAGTGAACAGATTAAGATTTCATATACATATAATAATTTCAAATGTCAGTTTACTCATTTCAGCACATTCCATAATTTTCTGAATAACTTCCTCTTCCGTAGGTATTTTCTCCATTTTCCAATTTTTAGCCAATACAATTCAAACCACTGTTAAAACATTTAAGTATCTCAATTCTCTATTATATGTTTCTGGTAAAATCCCTAATAAAAATATCTCAGGTTTAAAATCAATGTGTTTCTTTGTCATTTTTTCCAACTATGTGTGGATTTTAGTCCAATTTCTTTTAGCTTCTACACATGTCCACCACATATGGTAATATGATCCTGGAGTCTGATGACATTCCCAACATTTCTCCAATTTGTTCTTGAACATTCTGGCTATTCTCTTGGGGGTTGATGCCACCTGTAAAACATCTTATACAAATTCTCCTTATATGCTGTAAACATTGTCATTGTATAATTTTGCAACCACAATTTTTGCCATTTCTCTAAATTTAGCGGGGGCATTTCTTATTAGACCTTGGTGCCTTCCGCCGTGCCCTTAAAACTTTCTTTTTTCAGCAAGCCGGGCATATTTTTTAACATATTTTTAATTTTTTAATTGGTTTGTTATCTTAAATTGGGGCCAAATTAATATATATCCTTTTAATTGTTTTTAATGTTTGTATTGTATGTTTTCATCTGGCTTTACACTGCCCTGAGTCCTTCGGGAGAAGGTGCGGTATATAAATTCAAAATAAAATAAAAATAAATAAAAATTATCCTCCCATAACCTCCCATCTCACGTAAGTGATTCTGACAATCTTATTGTCAGAATCACTTAGGTGAGATGGGAGATTAGACAAGTTGAATGAATTTTAAAAAAAAAAAAACCTTGACAAAAAAAATGTCACAGGTATACTGCAGCTGCACATGGAAGCTCTATCTGTTTATTCCTCTTCCTTCCCATAAGCAGAGGTCAAATTGTTGATTGTAATGATGATTGTGGTGGTGGTTCATAATGTTCAATGTTGTTGTTGTTGTTGTTGTTGTTGTTGTTATTATTATTATTATTATTATTATCTCAACGCCCAATTAAAGTTCAACATCAGCCTACATTTCCCCCCCCCCAAAAAAAACCCCTAAACAGCTCAACCAATGGGAAGCAGGGAAGAATCATGAACTTCAAGCAGCCGTCTCTCAAACAGCGTCAACTACACTTCCCAGCATGCCTCGCGGTCCTTTCCGTCCACGTGACGCCAGCTGGCCAATGACGAGCGGCAGAACAGCCCTATAGTCCTGTGCGCCGGCGGAAGCCGCCTCTTTTTTCGCCAGAGCGGCGCGGCTCAAGATGGCGGTACAGATCTCCAAGAAGCGAAAGGTGAGGTTTTTTTCTCGGGGCCTTGTGGAGCCTTGTGGCGGGGCGGCGGGGGAAGAAATACGGGCCGGAGAAGGCGCAGCGGGTCGAGCGGCGGGGTGAGGCCGGCTAGGTGGGTCGGTGCGACGGCGGGACCCACGGATGGGAGTGGATTGAGACTGAGCCACCGCTCCATCTCTCCGCGGCTCCGGCCCAAATCCTAGTTGGGTCTGGCTGGGCCGAGAAGGCAACGAGACCGAGGCTAGACGGGCCGGCCGGGACCGGAAGCTGCCCGATAGCTTAAAGCACGTGCTTATTATGCCTAGGTGTTATTATAGGAGTGCAGCATGGGACATACTTCCCTCCACAACAGCCCTGCCAGGTAGGCTAGAGAGGGGCTGAATCTGGATTTGAACCTGAGCCCTCGCATCCAGCTTCACGCTAGTGCAATAGGTTTTAGTTACTGTTATTTATTGGGTTAGGGCTGGGGGGGGGGGCAAATGTGGCCCTTTTACAACCTGTGGACTTCAACTCCCAGAATTCCTGAGACAGCTTTGCTGTCTCAGGAATTCTGGGAGTTGAAGTCCACAGGTTGTAAAAAGGGCCACATTTGCCTACCCCTGGGTTAAGGATTTTCTGTTTGCACTGTGAGTTGTATTGTGTTGAAAGGGGGGGGGGCTGCACTGAGGGAGCTCAACCCATCTCATTGCATATGAATTGAATTGAACAACAGCCCTGTGAGGGAGGCTGTGGGTGGAGACAGAGGCCCAGAGACACTTGGGGGAGGGGTTTCTAAAGCCCAGGAATAGGCTGGGGAGTGGCGGGGGGGGGGGGTTCTGGGAGTTTGGAAGTCCACCCATCTTAAAAAATTGCCAAGATTGAAAAAGTTGCTTTAGGAGTTTCAAAGAAATGTCTATAGTCAGTTTTTTCCCCCCTGTGAAATGGGGCTAATAGGCTTAAGAGTGCCAGGCCGTCCATCTGTAGCTGAAGGGAGGACTCGAACCTGCGTCTCTCCAATGCCAGACCAACATTTAACTGCTATCTGCAGTTAAAATGCTGGTCTGGCATTGGCACAGACCAAGGTTTGTGTGTTGGGGCAGGCACACAACTATTTTTGCCCCAACACACAACCCAGTTTTGTGTGTTCGGGGCAGACAGGGATAAGACACAAATGTAACAGTAACAGAGTTGGAGGGGACCTTGGAGGTCATTTAGTCCAACCCCCTGCTCAAGCAGGAGACCTGTACTAGGGATTCGAACTGCCAACCTTTCTGATCGACAAGCTCAGTGTCTTAGCCACTGAACCTGTTGAACTGATGCCTGAGCAAACCCCCAAAAGGGAGCAAAAGGGAATTGGGGGGGGGGACTCACTCTCTGCCTTAAATGATGGGTAGTTCGAATGCTCTGCTCTGGTATATGGGACCCTGCAACCGTCATAAAGGTGAATCCGTTGCCAAGTATCTCAGTTTTGATCACGTGACCAGGGGAGACCCTGAAACAGTTGTGTGAAAAAAGTGGTCATAAGTCGCTTTTTTTTTCCAGTGCCGGTGAAATTACGAAAGTGACTATTTATGTAAAAAAAAAAAGGGGGAATAGAACATGTTTGTGATAAACTACAGCAGACGGAAAGGTGAAAATAATTGAATATAAGAATATCATTAATTTTGATGATAATGGAAAATTAAGATGAATATTTTATTGTTTATGATTGGGTAGGGAGAGACCCTTACAGAAATAAAGGAAGAGAGTAAACAATTGGAGCGATTGTAATAGAGAAGAAGCATAAGGCGTAAAGTGATGTTATTTAAAAATAAAATTGAAAAGGGTAAAAAATGATGGAAAGGAAATAATATGGCAGAAGTTGAAACAAGAAGAGATGGAGAAAAATTATAAATTTGTAATAAAGAGTGTATAAAAATTAGATTAAATAAATAAATAAATAAATAGAAAGAGATATAAATATTGGAAAAAACGGGAAGATTAAGATAAATTATAATGATGATTTTGATTATATAGGGTTATATAAGACGTGACCTGGTCAGGACTCTCTTCATAAAATAGGTATGATGAAAAGAAAATTTTTTTTCAGTATCTCACCCTTTTGTGTTTTGTTTCCAGTTTGTGGCTGATGGCATCTTCAAAGCCGAACTGAACGAGTTTTTGACTCGGGAGCTGGCTGAAGATGGCTACTCCGGGGTGGAGGTCCGCGTTACCCCAACCAGGACCGAAATCATCATCCTTGCTACCAGGTCATTCGTGTGGTCCTTCTGTCACATGGTTGCAAAAAATCTCATGGATTAGCTCTTCCCCCAGTTATCTGAAGAAGCACCCTTGGGAGCATCAGCTGCCTTCATTCTTACTCTGGTTATTAATGTGTTAGTTGGGAAGGCCCTACTAGGAGGTGTAGATGGGACTCTGAGCAGGGCCTCTGTCCCAAATCTTACAGGATGGGCAAATTTATTTTGAAGTAAGTGGCCTTAAATATAATCAGCTCTGAACTATACAAGGCTGGGTAAAGTTATTACATGGCCAAGTCTGTAACCTTTTTGAGTTTGTGGGTGGTCTTCAGATCAGGGCCCTGTAGGATACTCTCTGACTACCAACTTTTATTAAAAGTCGCAAGTTATCAGCTCACAGAAACGTCTGCCTCATAATAAAATTTTACTCGGAAAAGGTGCTACTGGAAACAATCTTGTTTGCCGCTGTAGACTTAACCATCAGTCTCTGCCTGCAATGGATGGTCTCCAGCCAGTCAATTGCAGTAGTCCAGACTTGAGATACGAGTGTCTGTGTGCAAGACAGACACTTAGTCCAAGAAAGTTCACAACTGGTGCACAACATGTTGTTGTAGAAGGTTCTCTTGAGCCGCTGAAAAAAATTCAAAAGCAAACAGTTCAATTACCATTCAGAAGTTGGCAACCAATGCATATATTTTAATGCAGACATCGTATGATCCTTCTCCCTGCAGTAGTTAGTAGCTGAGCAGCTGTGGGTTTTTTTTTACTATTGGTAGTTGCTACTTTTGGACAGTCTTGAACAGGTGTTCGTAGGAGTCTTGCTTGTGAGCTGAGCTCTCTCAAAATTAGGTAAGTAGGTGGATGGACAGAAGGACAGATAGATGGATGTAGATAGAGAGATAGAGATAGAGAGATACCCTGTTTCCCCTAAAATAAGACATCCCCTGATAATAAGCCCAATCGTGCTTTTGAGCGTATGCAATAAAATCAGCCCTTCCTGAAAATATTTAAATGAAGCGCAGCTGGTCCCCGCCATTTTCTCTGGCTTCCTCCATGCGCCCCAAAATAATAAGACCTCCCCGAAAATAAGGCCAAGCGCTTATTTTGGGGTTCAAAAAAATATAAGACAGGGTCTTATTTTCGGGGAAACTGGATGGGTGGATGGATTCCTTCACTTATGACTCAATTGGTGGCTGTTTAAATTACAAAGGACCCTCCCCATAGAGGTTCCAAAATTCGGGTGGCTGTATCCTTCCCTCTCCCCCACCCCCTTCACACCTCAGCAGTCCTGTGACTGCCTTTTAGATGCTGAACAACTGGCCTACATATTTGACTGTTCGCAAAATCCTGCAGTCACATAAATGTACTGTGATTTTTGCTGAAAAGGCAGCGTTTACCTCTCGAGTTTAGATAGAAACTCCCCATAGGGAACAATGGACTCACTTAATTATCATTGCAAAAGTCATCATATTGGGTGGGCCAAGTACATGATGACCCAATTTACAACCGTGGGAGGCAGGTATAAATAATAATAATAATAATAATAATAATAATAATAATAATTTTATTTCTATACCGCCCTTCTCCCGAAGGACTCAGGGCGGTGTACAGCCAATTTAAAAACACAGGACACAACAATGATTAAAAATTAAAATAATTAAATAGATTTGGCCAGTTTAAAACCCCAAAAATTTAAAATACCCCAATTTAAAATTATTATGTTGATAGCCCGGCCTGGCGGAACAACAGGGTCTTCAGTGCGCAGCGAAACACCCGGAGGTCGGAGATCTTACGTATTTCCGGGGGCAGTTCATTCCACAGGGCTGGGGCTCCCACAGAGAAGGCCCTCCCCCTGGGTGTCGCCAGCCGACATAACTTGGCCGATGGCACCCTGAGGAGACCCTCTCTGTGGGAGCGAACTGGCCGGTGGGAGGCTGTTGGTGGCAGAAGTCGGTCTCGAAGGTACCCGGGTCCTATGCCATGGAGCACTTTAAAGGTGGTAACCAACACCTTGAATCGCACCCAGAAGACCACTGGGAGCTAGTGCAGCTCACGCAGGAGGGGTGTCACACGGGCACAACGAGTTGCGCCCATAACCACCCACTGCAGTCAACGAGAGAATGTAAATACAGCCTAGATGTACGCAAGTTGTCGGAATCGAGCAGAAGAAATGATTTTGTGAACCCCTTGATCCAAAAGTTGGATCGAATCAGATAATTTATTCCAGTAGCAGTGAAATGCAGGCTAGATCTAAAAAAAATTAAATACTAGAAATTTTCAGAGTTTATTCTGGCGGAATTGACCTCATGCCAATCTTTGCCTTTTGCATTTCAGAACTCAGAACGTTTTGGGAGAGAAAGGACGCCGGATTCGCGAGCTGACGGCCGTGGTTCAGAAGCGATTTGGCTTCCCGGAGGCCAGTGTGGAGGTAACACTGGGGCCCCTGTGCTCGCTGGGGCATTCTGGGAGTTGAAGTCCACCCAACCTTAAAACTTGCCGAATGTGAAAAAAACTGCCTTAGCGCTTATCTTCCCTTCAGTGACGATACGATGACGAGTCAGAAATGGACACCCTCTTGCTCGGAGCCAACAGCCTAGGGCCACGTTCTGTGGCACTTTGCTGGTTGACTTTGACAAGGGTGTCCTACTCACTGGATGAACTTGAGGCATTTGTCTGAGAAGGGACAGGCAGGATTACTTGATGTGAATTTAAAAGCCACAAGCAGTTCAGTCGTGGCTTTTAGTGGGCTGTTTACAGGTACTCCTCGATTTACGACCACAATTGAGCCCAAAATTTCTGCTCTTAAGTGAGCCATTTGTTAAGTGGTTTTGCCCCATTTTAGGACCTTTCTTGCCACAGTTGTTAAGTGAATCGCTGCAGTTGTTAAGTTAGAAACACGGTCGTTAAGCAAATCTGGCTTCCCCGTTGACTTTGCTCATCACAAAAGGGGATCACGTGACCTCAAGACACAGCAAAGGTCATAAGTATGAACCAATTGCCAAGCCTCTAAATTTTGATCACGTGACCATGGGGATGCTGCAAAGGTCATAACTCTGAAAAACTGTTCTGCCCCAGCTACGGACCCAGCAAAGAATGCAGCACACACGAAGTCTGAACAAACCTTAGTTTACTAAATTAAATCAGTCTTTTTCAAATAAAGGCTGTTAATTAACTTTCTTAACAGCCGACAAGAATCCAAAGAATAAATAATCGTAATCTTACTACGGTTGGCAGAATGCCCAGAAGCAATTTGCAGGAAACTGATAAGAGAACTAAGATCCGGACGCGAAGGAGAGTGAACGAAGTTGTTTCCTGCAAATTGCCTCAGTCGGCATTCCTCCTTAAATAGGCTAAGGGAGTGGCCAATTAGCCCCAAGCCTTACTCTCGAGGAGACCTCCTCCTGAGGAGCCACTCCTGCCTTTTGGCAGCTCTGCGCGCCCGTGCATCGAGAAAAGGCTCCTCCTCTTCATCCTCTTCACTTATGGGACCTTCTGGAGCTTCTGAAGGCCCTGGCTGATCCTCTGGCACCACATCTTCTCCAGCCTCCTCATTGTCCGACTCGAGTGCCAGCTGCACAGGCTGCTGGCGCAGCACCACACCAGCCTCCTCACTGTCGGAATCATCTACTAGCTGCACAGGCCGCTGGCGGGCCACAACAAAAACGGTCATAAGTCACTTTTTTCAGTGCCATTTGAATGGTCGCTAAGCGAACTGTTGTAAGTCAAGGACTACCCGTATTGTCTATGTGTCGGTTGTGTGCTGAGCGTTGGATTTAAAAGGCGGGTATTGAAAACATCCCCTGTCAGAGGAAACTAAAATTTCTTTACAGATAAACCTCAACTTAAAACTCTTCACTTAGTGACCAAAGTTACAGTGTCATGGGGGGAAAAAAGTGATTTATGACTGTTTTTCACACTTAAGACAGTTGCAAGTATCCCTGTCGTCCAAATACCGATGCTTGGCATCTGACAGTTGCAGTATCCTGGGGTCAAATGATCCCCTTTTGCAATCTTCTGACAAGCAAATTCAGTGGGGAAAACCAGATTTACTTAACAGCCAGGTTGCTAACTTAACAACCGCAGTGATTCACTAAACTGCGGCAAGAAAGATTGCAAAATGGAGCAAAATTCCCTTTAACCGCTGTCTTGCTTAGGCCTTGTGGTCATAAAGTGTGCAAAATGACTATAAGTCATCCTTTTCAATGCCATCTGTTAAGGAATTCGCAGAGTAACCCTTGAGTAGCAAGGGTGTGCACATGAAAACGATTGAGAGTAGTTACGAATAAACACAGCCAACACACAGATACACTGAGTAGTGTTTACTTTCAGGAAATAGTAAGGCAGAGTCCAATAAACAGTCCAGGTCATACACATATAAAGCAGGAGATAGCAAAACGACAGTCCAGGGATAATTCAATAACAAAGTCTTCTTACCAGTCGTCGTAGTCATTCACAATAAACAGTTCTTCTGGGTTTGCAAACAGTAGCATACAGAGATATCAGAGAGCAAGAACAGCAAAGAGAAACAAACCATGTTTCTAGCTCCCTCTTAAGGAGATTGGCTACAGAGCTAACCAATCAAGACACAGTATGATGCAATACAGCAGTCTTAAAGCTATATTGAGGGTTTATATATTGCCAACCCAACAAGGTAGGTAATAATCATTTCCTAACACCATTGCAACGGTCACTAAACGAATGGTTGTAAGTCAAGGACCATCTGTTTCTTCCCCAGGGGGAAAGTAAATAATTTCCACTAACTACAAAGCAAAAAAAGAGGAGATTTTTTAACAGATTAGTTAACTCCTCCTGCCTGTGATGTGTTTGTGAAGCAATTTACTCTCTCTCTCTCTCTCCCAAAGCTCTATGCCGAGAAAGTGGCCACCCGAGGATTGTGCGCCATCGCCCAAGCCGAATCCCTGCGGTATAAGCTTCTGGGAGGCCTTGCCGTGCGTAGGTGAGCATCGGGCCAAAACCAGATCTGAGCTTTCTGTTTTAATCTGTCGTTTTGTAGCTTTTTGTGCAACTTCAGCATGATGGACTTTGAATGTACCCGTTTCCCTTAGCCTTCAACAAAGACGCAGCTCGGGTGTCTAGTGCAGCAAAGCTGGCTGGGGAATTCTGGGAGTTGAAGTCCGCCAAGCTTAAAGTTGCCAAGGTTGGAGACCCCTGACTTAGATGACCCTTCTGGTTTCTTCCAACTCTATCATTCATGGCTGGCTGGGGAATTCTGGGAGTTGAAGTCCGCCAGGCTTAAAGTTGCCAAGGTTGGAGACCCCTGATCTAGTGGACATATCGCTGGCTTCTTTTAAAAGTTGTGTTGTGTGTTTAAAAGAAGAAATCCGCCACACTTCTTTTGGGGGTCTTGTCGCTCGTGACGGAGCTGTTCTCGGCTGCCTGTTTTGGAAGCCCAAGAAATCCCTTCTGTGATGATACGATGACGAGTCAGAAACGGGGCCTCCTTCTGCCCGGGGTCAGCGATACCGTGCCATGTTCTGTGGCCCTGTGTTGGTGGCTTTGGCAAAAGAAGGAGGCCCGGTCATTGGATGAACAAGAGGCATTTGTCTGAGAAGGGAAGCTCTTGAAAAGACCCTCTTGCTTACATTGAAATTTTAATCAATCAATTTTTATTAATATTTTTTGGGAAATATTTGACTGGCCCCGTGCAATTTAGACAACACTAAATTGAAATTTTTAAAAAAAATAATAATTAAATTTTCAAACATTAAAATATACAGTACAAAAAATAGAAAAGAGCAAAAAAATAGAAAACCATAACACACAACAAAAACAAACATATCAAAATTTAAACATTAGTAACAGCTTTTCTACATCGGTATCTCCATCCTAATTAACTTCCATGCACAAATTCTAGTTCTATCTCTATCTTAACTTACATCCTTATCTGAATTATAATAACGTCTATTCCCAATTCGGTTTCATGACAAAATATCCCTTACGTTTTAGATTTACTCTCAAGCCAGGCAAATTGAATTCTCACTGGTCCTGGTAGATGCGCAGATGCCTTCTATCAGTGGGGCAAAATACCGTCATCAAATTGTGACTTGTGGGGCTGAAAAACAAACTCTCCAACATAACTGTGACAGTGTCAAAAACAAAGCCTTTAATGGAGATTTTGCTGATGACAAAATAGCTGCGACAAATGAACTAAAAATTTATAGTTGCAACTTAAGATACGTTCATAATCTTTCTATTAAGCTTTCGGATTTTATACTCGTGTTTGGTATTTTACCTCTGCGTTCCGTTTTGCTGAAATAGGATGTGAATGTGCCCTATCTGATCATTTTTAAATTTTAATTAAATAACACTTAGAGGGTTCCCCACTCTTGTGCTTATATCTAAATAGTCCCAAATTCTCACTCGTGTGTTCTGTCTATGCGCAGGGCGTGTTACGGCGTCCTCCGTTTCATCATGGAAAGCGGAGCCAAGGGTTGCGAAGTGGTTGTGTCGGGCAAACTCCGTGGCCAGCGCGCCAAGTCCATGAAGTTTGTGGATGGGTTGATGATCCACAGCGGGGACCCCGTCAACTACTACGTGGACACTGCCGTGCGCCACGTCCTCCTCAGGCAGGGTAAGGCAAGAGAGACCTCCCAAGTAGCTCCGTTCAGCTCAGATTTTGGAAGCCTCTGCCCCTTTCTTCTCCCTTCTGAGCCCTGCCCTCAAGGAGCGTCTGCGGAGCTACTCTCAGGTGTAAACAACCCAGAGCATTTGTTGAGTTCAAATCATAGAAGAGTTTATTATTGCTACTATATAGGTAGTTCTCGACTTCAACTAGATTTAGCAATATACCTTAGACTTATATACTGCTTCACAGGGCTTTCCAGCCCTCTCTAAGGGGTTAACGGAGTCATCATAATGCCCCCAACAATCTGGGTCCTCCTCATTTTATCCACCTCGGAAGGATGGAAGGCTGAGTCAACTTGAGCCGGTCAGGATCGAACTGCTGGCAGCGGGCAGAGCTTCCTTGCAATGCTGCATTCTAACCCCTGCTGATACCATGGCTCACATTTGAGCCCAAAATTTCTGTCGTTAAGCAAGGTAGTTAAATTTGAGCTTGCAAGGCCAAACGATCCTGTCTCAATGCCTCAACATTTTAATTTTTTTTTTTTTGCAGGTGTGCTGGGTATTAAGGTGAAGATCATGTTGCCCTGGGATCCCAGTGGGAAGATTGGGCCCAAGAAGCCCCTGCCGGACCACGTCAGCATCGTGGAGCCCAAAGAAGAGATTCTGCCCACCACCCCCATCTCGGAGCAGAAGGGCACCAAGCCGGAGCAGCAGCCTCCCATGCCCCAGCCTGTGCCCACGGCGTAAGAGGTAAGGGTCTGAGGAGGATGAACTGAAAAGCAACCTTGTACAGTCCTTGGAGCTCTCTGAGCCGGGTTGTTTTCTTAGCCAACTAGGTAGTCTCATCAGTGCTAATAAGGGAGTGGGGTTTGCAGAGTGGAGAAGGAGGAGGACTGGGGGGGTCCTTGGTCTCTCTGAGTTTGGTGGTTTTACAGACGTTTCATGACCCAGCTAGGTAACATCATCAGGGTTAGAGGGGAGTGGGGTTTGTGGAGGAGGAGGAAAAGGACTGTACTCTTTGCAGTCCACTGTGGGGTCCTTGGTGCTCTCTGAGCTGGGTTGTTTTCTTGCAGACGTTACGTTAAGGATATTGTTGTGTAACCAACCAGCAGAGTAAGTGCACAGAGAAACGGTACTGAGAGCAATGAATACAATACATACAAACTGGTTTAACAAAGTTTTTACTTTGTAGTGAAAAACAATTGCATAGTCTTTTTATCGATCCAAGTCTTTAGCCATTCAAATCAGTCCGAAGTTAACAGATATCTTCTTACCAGACAAACAGCAGTTCAACGCTGGTAACAAATCACGATGGTAGCATATCTATCCACGATGAGAGCTTCTTCACATGAAGGTAGCAGTTCCAACCAACAAGTCAAGCAGCAAGTCAAGCAATGATGAGAGCAGGTCCAACAATGACTATAGCTCGGCTTCCTCCCTATATACAGTTTACACTAGTAATTATCCACTTAAGATAAGTGAAGTCAGCAGTGCAATGACTCAACAGTACAATTATGATAATTGCAGTCAGCATTCAGTCAGCAGTCGTTAGTCATTACAATGACTCAGCAGTACAATGATTCAGCATTACATTTAAAGTTATAGAACACATATATTGCCTGGACAACTTGTTAGACTTAACACCTTATCCTAACACGTTTCATGACCCAACTAGGGAACATCATCAGTGCTAAAAGGGAATGGGGTTTGCTCTCTACGAACAAGCTACTTGAATATAAAAAGAGAGCAAACCCAATGCCCTTCTATAAGTGAAGATGTTCCCTAGTCGGATCATGAAACATTCGCAAAGAAACAACCAAGTTCAGAGAGCACCAAGGACCCCACAGTCGTCCTCCAACTCCACCCCCTTCTAGCACTGATGATGTTCCCTAGTTGGGTCATGAAACGTCTACAAGGAAACAACTCAGCTCAGGGAGCACCAAGGACCCCAAAATTCAACCCTGATCTATAGAGTTTGCTCTTCTATAGGCACAAGTTCCCCTTTTTATCAGAGGCAGATAAAGGATCCGATTTAAATTGTTCTGGGTATTTGTGTCCTTGGTCGTCTTACCCCAGAACATGGCTTGAAAGTAGCGTTGGTGGCTTAGCTTTCAGGGGCCAAGGATGGCAAATAAAGTTTTGACCTGGAATGTTAAATGGCTTAAATTCACCACAAAAGAGGTGAAAATATTTCACTTATTTGAAACAGTTTAAAAATGATGTAATTTGTTTGCAAGAAACATACATTAGAACAAGTGATCAGAAATATCTGATAAATGCTAGACTGGGCAAACATTTTGTTGCATCAGCTCCTGAGAAGAAAAATGGTATAGTTCTATACCTAAGAACAGATTTAATGGCTAAATTAATTGAAGCAGATCCACAGGGAAGATATATAATGATTGAATAGTAATAGAAGGGAAGAAAATACTTTTAGTGGGAGTATATGCCATGCAAGGACATCTTGAGGGCACCAGTTTAGGGAAGTGAGCTCCATGGGCGATATTGGCTGCATGTCATTCCGAAAGAATTAAAGACAAAATTTGTATTTATGGAAGAATAAAAATAGGCTTTGCCTCCCCGAGAGTTCTTTCTACTCCCTGATACATATATTTTTTTCTTTTTCCTTGCAGGTTTTTGATTTAAAACCTTGAAGTTCTATAGAAAAACCAAACATCTCTTAATAAAAATTTTTTAAAAGCCAACAAGAAATGGTCTTTTCTTTTATCCGCTCTCAGGACTGAGAGCTTAACCGTCAGAAACCTAGTTTGATTCTTCCCAAACCAAATTTTGGCCACGACTGTACCTTAGCCCAATTAAGTAATGCTTTTCACAGATCAAATCCTCAATTTACAACCAAAAATTTAGTGACCGATCGAAAGTTACAATGGCACTGGAAAAAGTGGGTTTTTGAATATTTTTTATAATTCTGACCATCGCAACATCGCACAACAAAATACAGCTGTTTGGCATCCGATTCATATTTACGACGGTTGCCGTATCCCAGATCACGTGATCCCCTTTTGGAGACCTCCTGACAAGCCATGTGAGTGGGGAGGCCATTTCATTTAACAACCGTGTTACTAACTTTAACCACTGGTGTTTCACTTAATGACTGGCAAAAAATTCACTTGAAAACAATTTTGCTTCGCAACGGTGGTTTTGAGCTCCATTGTGGTCGTAAGTTGAGGACCACTTGTAAATCGTCTTTACATTCTGGAATGAAGGAACGGGGGGGCAGTGGAGAAGGAGGGGGTCTTTTTCAGCTGTTCCTGTCCACTCAAACGCCCAGCAGAGGGAGGCGGATGTGCACACGCTAATAGCAAACTTCCTGTTGTTGAAAGGGGCAATTTTAGAGGCCATCCGAGGACCCACAACCACAGTGGCACCAAATGCTCACAGCCACATCACTGCACAAACATCACCACTTATTTACATGCTGCCACCGGATGCAACTGGGTGCTTTATTTCGCATCTCCTTTGTCCGGGCAGGGTGGATTTGATTTAAATCGAGTTGATTTAAATCACAATTTAAATCACTAGTAAAAAGACTTGATTTAAATCGAGTCGATTTAAATCCTAATTTTTAAAGAGCAACTGTCATCTCTGCTCCTCCTTTGACCCACCGTTGACTCACCGATAGTCCCAGTGTTGCAGAATACACAGCCTCCTGCTACATAACTAAGCTCCATTTCATGCTGAATAAACTATGTATCTTAAATAGAAAACTATCTTATGATAGATTTTTACACCAAAAGTTTTTTATTAAAATAAATTCGATAAAAATAAAAAAAATGCGATTTAAATTTAAAAAATTGATTTTTTTGATTTTTTTTAAAAAAATCATTTTTATCCACCGTGTCCGGGTGCTGCATACAGGACCCCCTTCTATCATTTTCTGCCCACCTTGCAAAGGTAGCCCAGGGCCGAGAGGGTGAATTACCCCCAATTCCACCCCACCCCACCCCACGCAATTTCCATAGCTGCTGGTGGAACTTGAACTCGGGTTTTGAGGTGTTTCTCAACCTCAGCAACTTTGGTGGATTTATTATTATTGGTTCGATTTATATGCCGCCCTTCTCCGGAGACTCAGGGCGGCTTACAATGTGTTAAGCAATAGCCTTCATTCTTTTATATATATCTGCTTAGTAGGGCTTTCGGCCCCCCCAAGTGATGTTCTTTTTTATACAAAGTCAGCTTATTGCCCCCACAATCCAGGTCCTCATTTTACCCACCTCGGAAGGATGGAAGGCTGAGTCAACCTTGAGCTTGGTGAGATTTGAACTCGCAGTAATTGCAGGCAGCTGGTGTTACTTAACAGTGCTTTAGTCTGCTGTGCCACCAAGGCTTTCAGCTTGTTTGGCTGGGGAATTCTGGGAGTTGGTCCTAATGCTGACTGGAGAATTCTTAAGAATGAAAGTCCAAATGCTGGCTGGGGAATTCTGGGAGTTGAAGTCCACCTGTCTCAAAAGTACCCAAAGTTAAGCTACCTTAGTCTCGAGTGTTAATCTTTCCCAGCCCAGCCAAAATCAGATTTATTCGCAGCACATGCCAGTCTTACCATCTGGAAACAATATTCATTTAATTCTTTTTCAGTGCTCTGGAAAGGTTGGGGGGTGGGGAATTTCTATTACCCTCCATAGCTGCTGTTTGCCAGATGCTGCTACATGCCCCCCCCCACCAGAGTACCATCAAGACAGCAATTCACTGAAAAATGTTTTTATTGCAAAAATTGTACAACAAAGTTGTGTGCGGTGAATAACAAGACATCCGAATCGCAAAAACGTGGCTTAATTCCCCCAGCCACCCCTTAACCCGTGATAGCACCGTCATCCCACCATGCCCTGCAGTTCTGTGCGTGTGTTGGATCTCCCCAAAGACCATCCTGAGTTACCCCCTTGGAGAGGCTGATGACACGTGTAACATGGGAAAGGCATGAACTTAGAAAAGAAGACAGGCTGAGTGTGCGTCTATTTTTGTGTTTTACCTGAGTCTGGCCCTTTAAATTTAAGACACGTGCATAATCTTCAAAACTTAAAAATCTTCAAAATTTACTCCTGTGCAGGACTGCTGCAAAATGTGAATTAGTGCACATAGCTTGGCACATGTGTATTGCACCAAGAAACCGAGGTTTAACCTGCTCTGCAAATATACCCGTTGAATTGCTTACTAACCTGGTTATGGCCTATTCTGGATACATCACCATCGGTAGAAAGGATGCGTTCAAACTGTGGGATTATTCAGTTTTAACTCAGTCTGAACTTTTGCCTTTCAGATTTAATCAAGGCCCTCATTTCCTAACCCCTGCATATTTATTACACCCGTGGTATAATCTTTTTACCCTTGATGGAACTGCAACCCCATTATCCCCAGGCCAAGGCTTGGAGGATTATGGTCCGAAGTACTGAGAAAACACAAAGCTACGTCAAAAACGCCAGCAAATTATAAATTTTCCCGATGCTGGGAGTGGAAAACATCCATTTAGTCTAAAATTCACCCTTTTGTCTTCTCGGAAATACGCAGCCACCGGTTTGACTTGGCTCCCCCTCTCGGGCTAAAACCGTCAGGACTTGCTGTTCCCGTTTCATAAAACTGAAAATGCAAATACTCTCACTCAGTAAGGACTTTAAATATTATGTCTACATATGCCTGGATAGCCTCGGTCAGTGGAGCCAAGTCAAATGTTTTTAAAATGAATTAAAATACCGTGTTTCCCCGAAAATACGACCTACTCCAAAAGTAAGCCCTGGCTTCATTTTTTTTACACATAAACCCTACCTCCAAAATAAGCCCTAGTTAAGACTCCGCCCACTCCAGGGTGTACGGGTAAAAATTAAGCTAGGATGCGGATGCAGGGGGTGGAGTTACCATACTACTACCCTACTACTTACCTTTAGACACCTGCAGCCAGGTCTCTCACACACCCCGAGACCTGCCTTGCTGGCCCATTTCTTCTCCAACCCGCAAGGCTCTCCTGAAGGTCTCTGCAACCGATTACAGCTCTGGATCGATCCTAAGCTCTGTTATCACCTGCAGAGGCCTTCAGGAAAGCCTTGCCGGCTGCAGAAGTAGTTCCTTGAAGGCCTTTGACAGCGAAAAAGAGGCCAGGGGCAATGCGCGTGAGTTAGTAGACAGCATCCCCCCAAAAATAAAACCTGGTGCCTTTTGGTGGGAAAAAAAAAATAAGACGGGGTCTTATTTTCGGGGGAAAATAGTACTAAAGGTGCTGAACATGGAACATTTGCGGTAAGCCAAGATTCCCAATTCCTCTTAAGGCCCTAAGTTTTAAGAACACTTGGGGAAGTATCCATTCTCTCTCTTTGCAGAGTTATTACTGGCAGGTAAACCGTGCTGGCAGTCCTCAACGTACGACCGCTCGTACAGCGGCTTCAAAGTTACATCACTGGGGAAAAAAAGTTGACTTCTTACGAACAGTCCTCACACAACTGTCACAGCTTCCTCAACAGTCACGTGAGCAAAATTTTGACAGCTTCAGCAACCGGCTTCGTATTTATGACGGTTGCAGCTTCCCAGTGTCTGGGAAGAGCCGCGCCGCGTCTCCCCTTTCCGACAAAAAAAATCAGTGCAGGAAGTTGGATTTGCTTAACAACCCCCTGGCCAAAGAGGTTATAAAATCAGGAGAGACTCACTTAACAACCGGCTCGCTTAGCCCATGGGGGGGAGGGGGGTCGTAAGCGGAGGACTACCGCATGCTCCCAAAAATGCAAGCTGGGTTTTGCAGCAGTGAGAACTTGGCAAAATGGGTAAGAAATGCCTTTCATTGTCTTTCCCACGGTTACAATCTCACAACCCCAAAGTCGATCAACTGACAAACTTAACCATCTTGTGTGCTTAAATCCTTGTGCCGTTATCTTTAGGAAGAGATCCCCAAAACCTGAACAGATCACTTTTTCTGGAAAAGAGCATATGAATTACACACACAAACCTTCCTAAATCTCTGATTGCATTTAACTTTCCAGGGCAGATAAAACCACAGGTAGTCCTCAACTTATGACAGTTCGTTTAGTGACCGTTTGAAGTTTGGGAAAAAATGAGTTTCGCACTTACGACTGCTGCAGCATGCCCCGAGTCACGTGATCAAAATTCAGGCACCTGGCAACTGACTCATATATACGATTGTCGCAGTAACCCGGGGTGACCTGACGAGTAAAGTTGGGGGGGGAGCCAGATTCACTTAACAACCGTGTCACTAATATAACAGCTGCAGTGATTCACTTAACAATGATGGCAAGAAAAGTCGTAAAATGGGGCCAAAAAAAAAAAATCACTTTTAACAGTTGTCTCACTTAACAACATAAATTTTGGGCTCGATTTTGGTCGTAAGTTGAGAACTACCTGTAAAAAACCAAAGTGGGGCTCAAAAGGGGTGCTGAAGAATTAAGCCCTCGTCCTTCGCCACTTCCCTTGTTCCCAACTTCGTATCTCACCATCTTTTGATGCCCCAAAATTTAACGAAGGTTAGAGGAGCGAGCACCAGTTTTTTAAAAAAAGGCACCTATTTTATCTCATTTTTATCTCAAGATAAAAAAAAAAAATCAAATCGAAGAGACATAACATAAACCCAGCATGCAAACTACAATTCGTCGCGCATTTTGTCTCCTTTGGGCTTCACCAGCCTGCCAATAAACAGGATGGAGTTGGTCTTATTGTCCTTAACCAGGAAAAGGAAAGGATGATCGACGTAGAAGAGTTTGGGATTCCGGATTTCTTCGCGGCTGTAGAGGTCAGAGTCGAAGGGGTTCCCTTCCGTGTCCAGTTCCAGGGCCGCCGCGTGGAAGACGTTGGACAGATACAGGTCCTTCTTGCCAGAGATCTTAGACAGGTCAGCCTTGTTCTTATCCATGGCTTCGGTTAAACCGAGATCGGCCAGGTGTTTCTGAACAGAGGGAGAGAGAGAGAGAGAGAGAAAGGGCTCTGAATTATTTTCCCATGCTCAACGATTGGCTGAACTTCTGTGATGTCACAGACAATTCAGATTATTTGTACAAGAATAGAATAGAATAGAATAGAATAGAATAGAATAGAATAGAATAGAATAGAATAGAATAAATGGAATGGAATAGAATGGAATAGAATAGAGAATAATTGGAAAGAATGCAGAATGAATAGAATAGAACGAATGGAATGGAATGGAATAGAATGCAGAATAATTAGAATAGAATAGAATGCAAAATAATTAGAATAGAATGCAAAATAATTAGAATAGAATGCAAAATAATTAGAATAGAATAGAATGCAGAATAATTAGAATAGAATGCAAAATAATTAGAATAGAATAGAATGAATAGAATAGAATGCAGAATAATTAGAATAGAATACAAAATAGAATAGAATGCAGAATAATTAGAATAGAATACAGAATAGAATAGAATGCAGAATAATTAGAATAGAATACAGAATGAATAGAATAGAATGCAGAATAATTAGAATAGAATACAAAATAGAATGCAGAATAATTAGAATAGAATACAGAATAGAATAGAATGCAGAATAATTAGAATAGAATACAGAATGAATAGAATAGAATAGAATGCAGAATAGAATAGAATAGAATAACAGAATTGGAAGGGACCTTGGAGGTCTTCTAGTCCAACCCCCTGCCAAGGTAGGAAATCCTGCACCACTTCAGACAAATGGTTATCCAATGTCTTAAAAACTTCCAGTGTTGGAGCATTTACAACTTCTGGAGGCAAGTTACTTATTTAATTTTACTTACGATCACAATTGAGGCCAGAATTTCTGTTGCCAAGAAAGACAGTTGTTAAATTGAGTTTTCCCCCCCCCCACCCCATTTTACAACCTTTCTGGCCACAGTCGCTAAGTGAGTCACTGCAGTTGTTAAAAAGTGAGCCCCACGGTTGCTATGTGATCTTGGCTTCCTCATTTGAGTTTGTGCTTGTCAGTGACCACGGGACACTGCAATCGTCATACGTATGAGTCAATTAACATCTGAATTTTGATCAGGTGATCATGGAAAGGCCGCAAGTGGGAAAAATGGTCGTAAGCCACTTTTTTCAGGGCCCTTCAAATGGTCACTAAACGAATCTTAAGTCAAAAAAGTACCTGCACTTTTCTTCATAAAATGATCCAGCTTCATTTGGTCTCTTTAGGCTAGCTAATCTCAAAATAGATAGTCCTCGATTTACGACTGATCGGATTCAAAATTCGGATGGATAAGGTCCCATCTTCGGTCATGTGACTTAAATATGGTTAAATGGTTGGAATTATGACTCTGCACACCCAATCAGTCACATTACAACAGTTTTGCTGAAAATAGGCACTTAACTTTCAGTTTTTGGTTAAACTCCACCCCTACTCAACCAGTTGTTCGCTTAACAACTGCCGTACTCACTTAATGACTGTTGAAAAAAAAAAGTCATAAAATCAGATAGGCCATGTGATTGGCCCATTTTAAAGCCGTAAGGGAAAGCTCCATTCTAGTCATATCTCAAGGACTATCCATACTATTACCCCTCCTCGAAGTTACAACCGTTTCACCACCTCTGCCGTCTCATGCTTGCAACCGGCTCGCATTTACGACAACTGCAACATCCCACAGTCACGATATGCCACCTTGCCAGCCAGCTGCCCTGCGTTGAGCAAAATCAATGCGGGAAGCCGAGATTCACTTTACGACGGCGGTAAAAATGGCTGCAAAATCAGATCAGCTGATGATCCAAGTTAAGAAAACCCGTCGCTTAGCTATTGAAATTCCGGTTCCAACTGCGGTCGTAAATGGAGGACTACCTGTATCGTTGCCTCCAGAAGTTGTTGGGTTGGAGGTTTTTAAGAAGAGACTGGACAGCCATTTGTCTGAATTGGTATATAGCAGTGTTTCTCAACCTTGGAAGCTTGAAGATGGGTGGACTTCAACTCCCAGAATCCCCCAGCCAGCAGCGCTGGCTGGGGGATTCTGGGAGTCGAAGTCCACCCATCTTCAAGCTTCCAAGGTTGAGAAACCCTGCTATATAGGGTCTCCTGCTCGAGCTAGGGGTTGGATTAGATGACCTCCAAGGTCCCTTCCAACGCTTTGTTATTCCCACTTGGACAGCCGAGAGGAGGCTCACCTGAATGTCGTGGCTGACCTCCAGGCTGACCTTGGGCAAGGAGATGGCCACCGACCGCTGCTTCAACTTGCCCAACCAACTCTGCAGCTGTTCTCGGGTGAGCAGCTTCTCCACCCGCTCCAAGGACTCCACGTGGTTCGGCATGATGATGATCAGGCTAGAGAGTTTATGGGCCAGCGGCATCTCCACGATCTGCAGCTTCTCCGCCTCGTCCTCGTAGTAATTGTACAATCCTGCAACAAATTAGAATCAAGTGGGCCAATCAGAAAAGAGCGCCGAGACAAAGATGATTCGAGGAGACTGGAGGTTAAAACTAAACTTTTGGGGTAAAACTCTATTGTAAGATAGTTTTCTATTTAAGATACATAAATAATTGAGTTTATTCAGCATGAAATGGAGCTTAGTTCTGTAGCATGAGGCTGTATATTCTGCAACACTGGGACTATCGGTGAGTCAACGGTGGGTCAAAGGAGGAGCAGAGATGACAGTTGCTCTTTAAAAATTAGGATTGAAATCGACTCGATTTAAATCAAGTCTTTTTACTAGGGATTTAAATCATGATTTAAATCGACTCGATTTAAATCAAATCCACCCTGCAAGGACCCTTCCAACTCCGATTGGCTGCTCTTACTTATGTAGAGGTTGCAAATTGATGGGTTTCCCCCGAGATTTCTGCCTTCAACATTTGAGGATGCAAAATACAGGAATGAGCCGAATACCTGCAAATATCAACAGGGGCAGGAAAAGTCCCGGTTTGGGTTTTTTTTGAGCAGAGTTTAAAAAACTATGTTTCTAGTCCACCAGGGTCAGATAAAATGAGCCTGGAAGCTCCTAAGCAGCTCTCCATAGATCGACTGGCTGGAGATCAGGATACACATTTCTGATTTCCTCTCTTCTTTTCTTCAGTGCAATAAGTCAATTTTTCCCCCCACAAAAAAAAAGCTCTGTATTTTCATCACTTTTTTCAGTGCTGTTGTAACCAGGGTGGATTTGATTTATATCGAGTTGATTTAAATCACGATTTAAATCATGATTTAAGTCACTAGTAAAAAGGCTTGATTTAAATCAACTCGATTTAAATCGTAATTTTTAAAGAGCAACTGTCATCTCTGCTACTCCTTTGACCCGCTGTTGACTCACCGATAGTCCCAGTGTTGCAGAATATACAGCCTCCTGCTACATAACTCAGCTCCATTTCATGCTGAATAAACTAAATTATTTATGTATCGTAAATAGAAAACTATCTTACGATAGATTTTTACCCCAAAAGTTTTTTATTAAAATAAATTCGATAAAAATCAAAAAAATCCGATTTAAATTAAAAAAAAATCGATTTAAATCAAAAAAATCTGATTTTTTTGATTTTTTTACAAAAAAATCATTGATTTTTATCCACCCTGGTTGTAACTTCAAATGGCCACTAAACGGACTGTCATAAATTGAGGATGACCTGTAGAGTCAGAAGGTTATTTTTCCTCCCTTTGACCCAGTCATGGGTAACAATTGAAAGCTAGCCCTGGTGTGACTTTGTGGGGAAAATGCAGAGATTTTTGTCATTTACTGCCTCAAACACTTATGGGAAAATCTGAGGGGAGACCATGGACAAAGCAAACCAGAAAGAAACATGCATTCGCCCCACCCCCAAAAAAATCTGGGTTTCCTTACCTGTACGGTGCATCATGGGAATGCCGACGGTGTAGGAACGCGTCACCATAAAGCCACGATTGTCCACCATCTTGTGATGGAACTTCTCATCCCAGTGCGCTAAAACAAAACGAACAGGCGTGAATGAAAAATGCGACGAGCGGTGCGTGTGGCCTAGAGGTGGAGCTCTGGCCTCACAATCAGGAGGCTGTGAGTTCGAGCCTAAGTAGAGGCAGATATTTCTCCTCTTTCTGGGCCACACTGAGAATATATCTGCTGAACAAAACTCCACACTGGCAATAGGAAAGGCATCTGGCCATTAAAACACTCTGCTAGCTCCATTCAGCTGCCCAGACTCCACCCGCCGCAAGGGATTATGGGGTCATTAAATGATGATGAAAGCTAGCTGTTTAAAAACATGTCCGCCAAATGATGAATGAAAAATGCAACAATGGGGAAAAAAAAGTTTGCAAAATGGGTTGAATTTAGATCAGGGTTTCCAACCTCATCCCCTTAAGATGGGGGGGGGGGATTCAACTCCCAGAATTCCTGAGGTTGGAAAACCTTATCCTAGATGCATTCCTAAGGAACAAATGAACTGTCGTATTAATTTTTTGAGTGGTCACCAAGCAGGCTCAACTAAACGTAAAGGTAAAGGTTCCCCTTGCACATAGTGCTAGTCGTTCCTGACTCTAGGGGGCGGTGCTCATCTCCGTTTCAAAGCCGAAGAGCCAGTGCTGTCCGAAGACGTCTCCGTGATCATGTGGCCGGCATGACTCAACGCCAAAGGCGCACGGGACGCTGTTCCCTTCCCACCAAAGGTGGTCCCTGTTTTTCTACCTGCATTTTTTTTTATGTGCTTTCAAACTGCTAGGTTGGCAGAAGCTGGGACAAGGAACGGGAGCTCACTGTTACGCAGCACTAGGGATTCGAACCGCTGAACTGCCGACCTTTCGATCGACAAGCTCAGCGTCTTAGCCCCTGAGTCACCGCGTCCCTAAGGCTCAACTAGAAGGGGTCAAAACAAGAGAAGATGGCAGCCTTCTGATCCGCCTACCGATACCCACCACCACCAACTCTCCACCACGTTCCCCCCCCTCTGCTTCAAAGCCCTCCACCAACGCGGACTCACGTTTGAAGAACATGGCGTTGACAATTAAGGCCCCGTCCGTCTTCTGCATATCTTTGGTGACCTCGGGCAGCTTGCCATCCGTAGTCTGGGCCGCCCACTCGTTGATGGACTTGAGGGCACTACGCTTGTCTCGGAAGTTGATCTTCGAATGCTCGTAGTTGTAGTGCTTCTTGCTATTTTGCACAAAGTCGTCCACGAAGTTGATGGAGCTGGGGCCGTAGAGGCGGCTGCCGAGTTTCCAGGTGACATTCCTGGCTGTGGTGTTGCTGACGTCGGTCAGGAACTCTGAGAGTCCGCTGTGGATGTAATCGTCGTTGAGCTTGCTGGCGCTAAGGAGAGCCTTGGCTTGGGAGGCCGTGGTGTCCTTTCCTCCGAGGGACACCAACCCCAGAGAAGATGCCACCACCACTGGCGACACCAAGATGTTCTCCAGGTTCTTGTCCTTGGCCATCACCTGGTAGAGGTTGAAGGCCAGGATGGCGCTGCGGTCAGCCAAGGTGGTAGCCTTCTCGCTCAGCTTCTTCTCTTTCGAGGCGGGCTTCTTCTCACTTTTCTTCTTGTCCTCGGAAGGGACCGCTGTCGCGAGAGCGCAGAGCGCGAGAAGATGGATCAACCAGGTGGATTCCATGACAACAGAGGGCAGTCACGACCTATGAGGAACCAAGATTACAGCCAGTCAAAATGGGCGGAAGGCCGAGTCAACCTTGAGCCAGTCAGGATCAAACTCCTCAGCTTACATCCTCAGCTTACATCCACAATTCCGAGCCCAACGTTTATGTTGAGAAATTTATGATTTCGCCCCGTTTTACGATTTTGCTTGCCACATTCGTTAGGTGAATCACTGCAGTTGTTAAATTGGCAGGCAAGTCCTCGACTTAACAACCATCCGTTTAGTGACTGTTCAAATTTACCACGGCACTGAAAAAAGGAGCTTATAACCCCTTTTCACACTTAACAACCACTGCAGTGTCTCGTGATCAAAATTCAGATGCTTGGCAACTGACTCGTACTTATGACAGTCACAGTGTCCCGGGGTCATGCGATCCCCCTTTTGCGACTGTCTTTTGACAAGCAAAGTCCATGGGGAAGCTGGATTCACTTAACAACCAGGTTACTGGCAGTGATTCACTTAGCAACTGTAGCAAGAGAGGTCTTAAAATGGAGCAAAATTCACTCAACGACAGAAATGTTGGGCTCAAGTGTCGTCATGAGGACTACTGTGTTGTGTTAGAAAATACAAAATGCAGGGAATCCTCGACTTAAGATCCGTCACTGAGTAACAATTGAAAGTTATGACAAACCCCCACCTCCCCACAAACAGCTGCCCCTTCCCCATGGATTGCATTTTGGCTTACAACTTTTTATAGCATTCCAACCTCACAACCAAAAATTTATGACTTTTTTTTTTTTGCTGAAAACTTTATTTCTATTTTCCAACAAAAATGACCATTGCAGACGTCTTTGCTTAATGAACCCAATTTTCTTTTGTAAAAACATTCAGCCACATGGTGACCCATTTAACAACCGGCATGACTTACGACCGTAGTTCTCATCTCAAATCACCATCGTAAATCAAGGACTACCTACAGGCCAAACATTACACCACCGTCTGTGCCCAAATCCAGAGCCATTTATTGATTACCAAATTGATCTGGCGTCTCCGTCAAAGAGCTACTTTTCTACATGCAGGGAATTGAAATCCGAGCAATTTATAATCCAAGAGGAGAATCAAATATAAGGCGGAGTTCAAAGGCAGACGTCGAATAAAGTTAATGCTTCATAAAGTTAATAAATTGCGTTTTGCAAAGACCATATTCCCCCCCCAAAAAATCCCAGTAGTATGTAATACAGATTTTCCTCAAATTCCTAGGACTTCCAATCAGCATTTCGTGGCTGTGAAGGATGGATGCTGTAGTCCCCAAACTACCTGGCTGTAAAAAGCCAGTAAGGCCAAATTACAGATGCTAGTAGCTTTGTCTAGAGAGTCTGTTCCCCTGGGAGAGTCCAGGATTACACTACTACTACAAAGCTATGCTATGTACATAGCTACTACATAGCTACTACAGCATAGCATAGCTGGCTGGAGAATTCTGGGAGTTGAAGTCCATAAGTCTTAAAGCTGCCGAGTTTGAAGACCTCTGCACTACTAGTTTGGTATTTTGCAAAATATAAGAATTAGATGAAAGATTTAGCTAGAATCACAATATTCTTCACAGTACCCACTTCCCTGCCACACACCCACTTGGTTTACAACTGGATTGCCATGTATAGTTTTAACTTATCCCTGCAAGCGTGATGCCTTCCCCTTTTTTTTCCTGCAATGCCATCAGAGCTGGCACGGGGGGGGGGGGGCACCGTGCCAAGGAGAGAGATTAGGTCGGATTCCTTGCATAAAAAGGGGCATTGCTGAGTCAGAGAATAACAGAGAAAAGGTGGAATCGTGTCCTCCACCCACCTCTCCAGACTCCAAACAGCCCTGACCCCACAATAAATCAATTCAGCTGCCAGCAAAAGGGCTGAAATCTCAATTTTATGTATCGTGGCTAGTCGGGCAAATTAAAAAAAATAAAAAATAAAAATTAGAAGACTTTATAAAAAGGCTTTCTATAAACGGTCAGCAGTTCGAACAAAGCATCCCTGTTCAAATTAGGAGCAGTCAGAAAAGGGCATGCAGACTGGTTAAAGGTAGTCCTCAGATTACGACCACAATGGAGCCCGGAATTCCCGTTGCTAAGCAAGACAGTTCAGCGAATTTCAGCCTTTTTTTATCGCAACCGTTCCATGAATCGCCGCGGCTGTTAAGTTAGCAACACGGTGATTTGAGTGAATCTGGCTCCCCCCCCCACCGAGTTTGCCGGCCAGAAGGTCGTAAAAAGGGGATCGGGGATCGACCACTGCAGCCTTATAGTCGTAACTATAAGTCAGTTGCCAAGTGTCTGAATTCTGACCACGGGGATGATGCAACGGTCGTTAAGGGTGAAAAACGGTCATAAGTGGCATTTTTCAGTGCCGTTGTATCTTTGAACGGTCACTAAACAAGTTAAGTCAAGAACTGGTTTTATGGATCGGTTCCTAAATTCAAACAGCTGGATTGGCAACGCAGAAGTGACATAACATTATTGTTATTGGTACAAACACGCTTTTGTTGAAAGTATAGAGCTGTGATGGCGAACCTATGGCACGCGTGGCACGCGGAGCCATATCGGTGGGCACACAAGTTCAGCTCCGGTGCACATGTGTGTGCCGGCCAGCTGATTTTCAGGCCTTCTGGGCCCACCAGAAGTCTGGAAACACCCTCTTTCCAGCCTCTGGAGGCACTCCGGGGCTGTGGGGAAGGCAGTTTTTGCCCTCCCCAGGCTCCTAGAAAGGCTCTGGAGCCTGGGGAGAGCGAAAAACGGGACTTCCGGTTCTACTGAAAGTCGGCAAACCAAAAGCAGCGGGAGTATGGGGGAGGGGGTAATGCACGCAAGTGGGGGGCAGGGCACATAGAATTATGTGTGAGGGCATGCGCGCTCATGATCCCACGCGCTTCCCCCACTTTTGGCACGCGACGGCAAAAAAGTTAGCCATCATTGGTATGGAGCAAACAAACTTATCTTGCAAATTCACTCCGCACCTGCCTCACCACCTCTAAAAGCCTTTGTGACTTTACCTGGGATCTGAAATTTTGCAATGGCTGTGTTGAGTTGAATTAAAAAACAACAACCATATTTTGGTTTAATAAAACAGTGGGGGTTTTTTTCTCAACCTTGGCCACTTTTAAGACTTTGTGGACTTCAACTCCCAGAATTCCCCAGCCGGCCACGCTTGGCAAGTTGCCAACATTTACAACTCTTTCCAGCATCCTGTGCCCGTGAGACCATGCTTTATGACGTGTTTTTCCCAAAATAAAAATTATTATTTACTTCTGGTCAGGGTGGGATTTGATTTAAATCGAGTTGATTTAAATCACAATTTAAATCATGATTTAAATCACTAGTAAAAAGACTTGATTTAAATCGAGTCGATTTAAATCCTAATTTTTAAAGAGCAACTGTCATCTCTGCTACTGTTGACTCACCGATAGTCCCAGGGTTGCAGAATATACAGCCTCCTGCTACATAACTAAGCTCCATTTCATGCTGAATAAACTCAATTATTTATGTATCTTAAATAGAAAACTATCTTACAATAAGATTTTTACCCCAAAATTTTTTTATTAAAAAAAATCCGATTTAAATCAAAAAAATCCGATTTAAATCAAAAAAATCTGATTTTTTTTAAAGAAAATCATTGATTTTTATGCACCCTGCTTCTGGTTTTCAGCAAAATTGTCTATACTGAAACAATGAGCTGGGTTTGTATGAGTTATGACTTTTATCAACGTAAGTCAAGGACCAGCTGTAAGCTGAACCAGAGGAAAAGCATCCGTAGCACGCTGTTACCTGCCCAGGGAAAGCTTTTGAAATTCCTTCACTGGGTGTGATGAGTGCTGAGTTACAGAACCTTGCAGGAATTAAACAGAATAACAGCGTTGAAGGGCCCTTGGAGGTCTTCTAGTCTAACCCCCTGCTGAAGGAGGAGACCCTATATCATTCCAGTGAAATGGGTGTCCAATTTATTCTTAAAAACCTCCAGTGATGAAGCACCCACAACTTCTAGTGGCAAGCTGTTCCACGGGTTAATTGTTGCCACTGTTAGGAAATTCCTCCTTATTTCCAGGCTGCTTCTCTCCTTGATTAGTTTCCATCCGTTGTTTCTTGTCCTGCCTTCAGGGGCTTTGGAGAATAAGTGGAAACCCACCTTCCCTCTTCTCTTCTTTGTGGCATTTACTTCTTTCTTGCATTGCCATTAATTTAGTTGCGTTGCAATTAATTGCAATTAGTTGCATTCAGACACAGTTATAGCTTCTCGTGCAGAAATCGCACTGGTAAAGAAACGTACCAAGGACTTGGAAATGAAGAGAAATTCCTCTTTTTTGGAAAAAATGCAACCCTTAGATATCTATCCTGGTGGGATTTTTGGATAAAGGAACCGTGGAATTAGCATTTGGGATGCTGAAGGGGGTTAATCTGCCCTCGAGGCCGCTAGAAACTCGCACAGCCTCGCTTGTTTGCACAAACGCATCCATGCGCAAAAGTTTCTCTTTGCAGAGTTTGCTTTGTCCCAACGGGCCAATTTAGCTGACTTGGTGAATTCCTGCTCAAGCCAGGCAGGGGGTTGGACTAGAAGACCTCTAAGGTCCCTTCCAACCCGTTAATTCAAGGTTTGCAATTTTTTTTCCCCCAACAAGGGCTTTCATCTTAAAATTCAAAACCATCGGGGTACCGCTGTCGATGGCAAAATTTTCAAGACTTTTGTTAGTTTGTGGGTCACTTATGGGGAAGAAAATCTGGATTAAAACTTTACTGGTTGACCCTCTGCCCTCAGGCAATTTCAATCCCCACAATGGGATTAGAGTGCCATTAATACCAAGAGCCTTGGTGGCGCAGCAGACTAAAGTGCTGTTAAGTAGCACCAGCTGCCTGCAATTACTGCAAGTTCAAATCTCACCAGGCTCAAGGTTGACTCAGCCTTCCATCCTTCCGAGGTGGGTAAAATGAGGACCCGGATTGTGGGGCAATAAGCTGACTTTGTATACACCGCTTGGGCCCGAAAGCCCCACTAAGCAGGTATATACAAAAGTATGAAGGCTATTGCTTAACGCATTGTAAACCGCCCTGAGGGCGGCATATAAATCGAACCAATAAATAAATTGAACCAATAAATATCGGGTTAGAAAATATCATTTTTGGGGGAATATTTCTGCACCGGATTTCCCCGTCGTCCAACCAGGATAAAGTGGGGTTTTTTTTTTAAATACAGTTAGTCCTTGATTTATAACCATTCATTTAGTGACTGTTTGAAGTTATACGTGCAAAAAAACTTCCGGCGATTTAGGCTGCAACATGGCTGCAGATGTTCCAAGCCGCCCCAGTGGGGCCCCCCCTCCCCACACGCCTTCCCCCCCCTCCCCACGGCCATGCCACGTAGGCAAGGCCCAGCCTGAGACAAAGCGCATGATTATCCTTGCAAGCTGCCTGGCAAGGAAGAGGACGTTGAACAGAAATCAAAGCCAAACCCAACCCGGCTTAAAACTCCACACATTATTTTATTCCCCTTTTTTCTATTTCTGCAACCCGCCGTCAACTGCAAATTAAAAGTCTTCAGGCTTTTCCGCTTATTTCAGCAAAAATGCAGCTGGCCGGAAAGAATTTTCGAGAAATAATCTTTGTTTCTATTTCTGCAAGTGGGAAGGCAATCCCTGTTTTTTTCCCAACTTTGAAGGCTAGAAACTTGCTTTTAAATCAAAATATCCACACGGGTCTGATTTACAGAATTTACTCTGCAACTCTTGCTTTGCTTTTTTTCTTGCTTTCTTTTTCTTTTCCACTTTCTTTCTTCCTCTTTCCACCTTCCTGCCTTCCTTCCTTCTTAAATTTCTCTCCATCTTTCTATCTATCCATCTTTCTTCCTTCTATCTATCCATCCATCTTTCTTCCTTCTGTCCATCTATCCATCCATCTTCCTTCCTTCTGTCTACCTTTCTATCCTCCTATCTTCTTCCTTCCTTCCCATTCTCTCTCCCACCCTCCTTTCCTTTCTAAACTTTATTGGCTGACCATCTTACCGTTACATCTAAGTTAAAACCTAAAAGTTAAAATCAAATATTAAAAGCAAAGACATATTTAGAGGGCGGAGGCAAGGTTATTATTCAATCAACCACCTCCATCGTAAGCCATATATTGGATTCTGGTTTAGCAAAGTGGTTTACAAGCAACCAGTGTTAAGAGTAGCATTTTTTTTGAATTGGTTTATTTTCCTTATTTCTTAATTTCCCTTAATTCCTTAATTTTCCTTATTTCTCCTAAGAGGACCTCTAACTTTCCTTTCTACCGGATTTTTTTTTTCTCTGTTCAAGGCAAAAAAAAAAAAGGGAAATTAAGTTTGCTATTTATACAGCCTGCAGTTAAACTCACCCTTTCCGTTTTTAAAAGCATCCTGCTAAAACTATTATATTTCCCACCCAGTGAATGAAAACCTATCAGCAAAAATAGGAATAAATTCCAGGTCCGCTTAAAAATGCTTAGCAAAACCCCTCCAGAAGCAAAGACTCACTAACCACAAATTTATCTGTTTCTTTTCTAATTTTAATTCACGAATAAAATCCATCTTCTATCGATTCTGCATAAAAAGGCCTCCTTTTATTTTTATTTTCTATCTAGGTCAGGAACTGACAAGCTTCATTTTCTGGATGCTTGGCCAGTCTTCTCAGCCCTTTTTTGCAGAGGGCAAAATTAAAAATAAAACTCCAGGCCAGCTCCAGGAGGCTAAATTAAGCTAAGCCAGCCTCCGTGCAAAAGATTCTAAATCAAAACAACCAATGCTGGTTTAAGATAGTCAGAAATACATCTTATTTACAGCCGGCACTGCCCATCTGCTTCTCCAAAATATGTTCCTTTTGGAATAAGCTACAGTCCCAGCTTGAATTCAGGATCAGGGTTTCTCAAGCCACGATGGAACAAGCAGACTTCCTTAAAAGGGAAAACAATCCTGGTTTATTAGATTAGCCCTCTTCCACCTGCCTATCCAACTGAATTAAAGTCTTAATAAATGCCATTTGTGCAAGGGGTTAATTTAATTTAATTTAATTAATCATATTTCTATGCCGCCCAACTCCCAAGGGACTCTGGGCGGCTTAATCCTGGTTAGTTGTACTTTTTAAGCGTAAAGGAAAACCCAGGAACAAGCCGACTTCTTAAAAGGGAAAACAATCCTGGTTTATTAAGAGAATAGCCCTCCTCCACCTGCTTATCCAGCTAAATTAAAGTCTTAATAAATGCCATTTATGCAAGGGGTTAATCCTGGTTAGTTGTATTTTTAAGCAAAAAGGAAAACCCAGGAATAAGCCGACTTCTGAAAATGGAAAACAATCCTGGTTTATTAACAGAGAATAACCCTCTTCCACCTGCTTATCCAGCTGAATTAAAGTCTTAATAAATGCCATTTGTGCAAGGGGTTAACCCTGGTTCATTTTGTAACTAAGCATAAAGGAAAAAAATATATTCTCAACCTTTGTGTGTGTGTGGTCACTCAACAGGAAAACCCAGGAACAAGCCAACTTCTTAAAAGGGAAAACCATCTGGCTTATTAACAGAGACTAACCTCTTCCACCTGCTTATCCAGCTGAATTAAAAGTCTTAATAAATGCCATTTGTGCATTTGATTTTTAAGCTGTAAAGGAAAACCCAGGAATCAACTTTGGGGGGTTGATGCAAGAAGCAGAAAGAAGTTTTCCTGTCGTGTGAATGCAAGCCATTTCAATCCGGGTTTTTTTTTCTCCCCCCTACTCTGCATTCTCCGGGCTACATGCACCCCCACCTCCAGCATTTGCTTGAGCCAAAAGTCTCCCCCCTCCCCAAATCCGTTGCATGCCAAATTCAGCGCATCTCCGTCTGGATCACCTTTCTCTTGCGCGCAAGGGGGGAAGCGGGGGGGGGGGTCCCCATTTTTGCACGGGCAATCGCTGCCCCCCCCCCCCAGAAGCAGGACCCGCCCAGCCAAAGTCCCGGGGAATCCACCCGCCGGATCTCCAGCCGATCCCGGGACTCCTCCGAGTCAAAGTTCCTGCGCGCTTTCCCAAGTTTTGCGCCGGAGTTTGCAAAGCCCGGCGCTTTTGGGGGGGGGGTGCAAGGCGACCCGATCCCGGGCTGATCTGGGGGTCCGGAGACACCCCCCCTCCCCCGGTGCAATCCTAGCCTCGGCTCCACGTGTTCACGTGTCGTGTGAACGCAGCACCCGCAACTCCAAAGCGGGTCAAGAGCGCTTTTCCCACAAAGGGGACCCAGAGCCGCGTTTTCCCCCCACCCGAGGCCCACGCAGGGAGGAGGGAAGGAGTCCCGTTTCCCCACTGCGCGGTTTAGAAGGGGATGATGGGCCATGGACGGTTTTTGGGAGGGGATGATGGGGCATGCATGCAGGGGCTGGGAGAGGATGATGGGACACACCATACACGGGTTGGGAGGGGATGATGGGACATATTACGCAAGGGTTGGGAGAGGATAATGGGAGAAGTCATGCACGGATTGGGAGGGGATGATGGGCCATGGTATGCACGGTTTGGGAGGGGATGACGGGGCATACATGCACGGGTTGGGAAGGGATGCTGGGACATAATATGCAGGGGCTGGGAGGGGATGATGGGACACGCCATGCACGGGTTGGGAGGGGATGATGGGACATATTACGCAGCGGCTGGGAGAGGGTAATGGGAGAAGCCATACACGGGTTGGGAGGGGATGATGGGATAAACCAAGCATCGATTGGGAAGGGATGATGGGCCATGCGGGGCTGGGAGGGGATGATGGGCCATGCGATACACGGGTTAGGAGGGGATGATGGGATAAGCCAACTACCGATTGGGAGGGGATGATGGGATAAGCCAACTACCGATTGGGAGGGGATGATGGGCCATGCGATACACGGGTTAGGAGGGGATGATGGGCCATACTATGCAGGCGCCGGGAGGGGATGATGGGACACACCATACACGGGTTGGGAGGGGATTATGGGATAAGCCATGCACAGATTGGGGGCGGGGATGATGGAACATAGTATTCAGGGCTGGGAGAGGATAGTGGCAGAAGCCATGCACCGATTGGGAAGGGATGATGGGCTATGCAGGCGCTGGGAGGGGATGATGGGACACACCATGCACGAGCTGGGAGGGGAATGATGGGACACACCATGCACGGGTGGGACAGGCTAATGGGACATGCTATTCAGAAGTTGGGGAGTGGATGATGGAACATGCCTTGCACGAGGAAGGAAACAATGAGCCCTCCCATGCCCAGATCGGGAGGGGATGATGGGACAAGAGAAGCGAGACGGAGACCCCCCCCCAGTATGAGCCCCTAAATCGGGCTGCAAATGCACGGAAGGCGCCCAGCAGCAGCAGAAATTCCCCCTTTTGCAAACCCGGAGCAGCTCCCGCGCCTGCAGCTTCTTTCTTTCTTTCTTTCTTTTATTAATTTATTCAACAACAAAAAAATTATTGCAACATAAATTTCTTGCAACAAAAAAAAAAAAAAAACCCCAAAAAACTCCACCGCTCCCCGGATTTTTTGCAAAGCCTCCCTCCCTCCCTTCTCACCTCGGGGCTTGCAACGGCCGAGCCTCTCCGCAGCTGCCTTCCCTCCAGCCGAGCCGCCGCTGGGCCAAGGGGGCTTTATAAGGGGGGGCCGGAGAAACTTCTGGAAAGGGGAGGGGGGAATGCCTCTTGCAAGGGCAGCCCCTCCCCTCCCTCCCCCTCCCCCTCCCCCTCTCCGCCGCTGCGGGGTCCTAACGTCGCTCGGGTTGCAGCCGCTCCGCTTTGCGACCGCTGCCGCTTGCCTTTTTATCTCTGCGGGGACGCAACTGCGGGGACTTTGGAACGCTCCCCGAGTTACGACCGGAACGATGGAGAGGGGTTTCAGGCAGCAGCAGCAGCATCCCCCCCCCATCCGTGTGGAAGGAAGGGGGGTCCATTTGGGGGTCCCGAATCCTGGCTGCTGCTTTCCCACGAATCGTTTAAACGGCACACGGGTTAAAGTTTGGACTCAAGTGGCAAAATAAGGCTTGATTTTATTTTAATTTTATTTATTTATTTCTTTTAATTTTATTTATTTATTTCTTTTAATTTTATTTCTTTATTTCTTTTAATTTTATTTCTTTTAATTTTATTGATTGATTTTAATTTGATTTCTTTCTTTCTTTTAATTTGATTTCTTTCTTTATTTTAATTTGATTTCTTTCTTTTAATTTGATTTCTTTATTTCTTTTAATTTGATTTCTTTATTTCTTTTAATTTGATTTCTTTCTTTTAATTTGATTTCTTTATTTCTTTTAATTTGATTTCTTTCTTTATTTTAATTTGATTTCTTTCTTTTTTTAATTTGATTTCTTTCTTTTAATTTGATTCCTTTATTTATTTTAATTTGATTTCTTTCTTTTAATTTGATTTCTTTCTTTCTTTTAATTTGATTTATTTATTTATTTTGATTTACAGGCCGCCCTTCTCCGGAGACTCAGAGCGGCTTACAATGCATTAAGCAATAGCCTTCATACTTTTGTATATTTTTATACAAAGTCAGCTTATTGCCCCCACAAACTGTGTCCTCATTTACCTACCTTAGAAAGGATGGAAGGCTGAGTCAACCTTGAGCCTGGTGAGATTCGAACTTGCAGTAATTGCAGGCAGCAGATGTTAATAACAGTGCTTTAGTCTGCTGAGCCACCAGAGCTTTAGTTGGAGAGCGCCCCCTGGAGGGTTGAGAAGCTGGGTGTGTGGGGGGGCAGGAAGGTGGTTAAAAGCCCCCCACTCTTTCTTAAAGCTCTCCATCACCCGGCTCTTGGCCCAGGCCAACCTGCAGGGTTGGTGTTCGGGGGGGGGTTATGGGTGGGATGGAGAAGGCACAGCCCCATCGAGGATGTTGGGCTTTGCAAGGAGCAGCAGCACCATGGAACTGCGGTAGTTACTAGGCTGTTGTTGCTAGACTGCGTTGTTTCTCTGAGTCATATATATGGGTATATGCAACAATTTTGTATTCATTCATTCATTCATTCATTTCTTCATTCATTTATTTTGTCATGTTTATGTAGTGTTTATTAGAGGGGGAGACACTTTGAGAGCTGTACGCAACAAAATTTCGTTTTAATGTATGCCGATTAGTGTACATTCAAAGTGACAATCAAAGTTATTATTCTATTCTATTCTATTCTATTCTATTCTATTCTATTCTATTCTATTCTATTCCATTCCAATCCATTCTAATTCTATTCTAATTCTAATTCTATTCTATTCTATTCTATTCTATTCTATTCTATTCTAATTCTATTCCTATTCCATTCCATTCCATTCTAATTCTATTCTAATTCTAATTCTAATTCTAATTCTATTCTATTCTATTCTATTCTATTCTATTCTATTCCATTCCATTCCATTCTAATTCTATTCTAATTCTAATTCTAATTCTAATTCTATTCTATTCTATTCTATTCTATTCTATTCTAATTCTTATTCCTATTCCATTCCATTCCATTCTAATTCTATTCTAATTCTAATTCTAATTCTAATTCTATTCTATTCTATTCTATTCTATTCCATTCCATTCCATTCTAATTCTATTCTAATTCTAATTCTAATTCTAATTCTAATTCTATTCTATTCTATTCTATTCTATTCTATTCTATTCTATTCTATTCTAATTCTTATTCCTATTCCATTCCATTCCATTCTAATTCTATTCTAATTCTAATTCTAATTCTAATTCTATTCTATTCTATTCTATTCTATTCTATTCCATTCCATTCTAATTCTATTCTAATTCTAATTCTAATTCTAATTCTAATTCTATTCTATTCTATTCTATTCCATTCCATTCCATTCCATTCCATTCCATTCTAATTCTATTCTAATTCTAATTCTAATTCTAATTCTAATTCTAATTCTAATTCTATTCTATTCTATTCTATTCTATTCTATTCCATTCCATTCCATTCCATTCCATTCCATTCCATTTTCTTTTGTCTTCTCTTCTCTTCTCTTCCCTTTCTATTCCATATTTCTATTCTATTCTATTCTACATTTTTCTCTATTCTATTCTATTCTATTCTATTCTATTTTCTAATCTAATCTTATCTGGAGCATCCCTTGAACACCATCCACATTGACAAAAAAAACCCTCAGAATCAGGATAGAGCTGGAAGGGACTTTGGAGGTCTTCTAGTCCACCCCCCTGCTCAACCAGGAGACCCTCTACCATTTCAGATTAGTGGCTGTCCAGTCTCTTCTTAAAAACCTCCAGTGATGAAGCACCCACGACTTCTGGAGGCAAGTTGTTCCACTGGTTAATTGTTACTTCACTGTTAGGAAGTTTCTCCTTAATTCCAGGTTGCTTCTCTCCTTGGTTAGTTTCCATCCGTTGCTTCTTGTCCTGCCTTCAGGGGCTTTGGAGAATAGATGGACCCCTTTCTTCTTTGGGGCAGCCCCTCAAATACTGGAATACTGTTCTCATATCCCTCCCTAGTCCTTCTTTTCTCCAGACTAACCAAACGCAAATCCTGCAACCATCCTTCAAATGTTTTAGTCTCTTTAATCCTCTTCGTTGCTCTTCTCTGCACTTTTTCCAAAGTCTCAACGTCTTTTTTTGTAATGCGGGGACCAAAACTGGATGCAGGATTCCAGGTGTGGCCCTTCCTAAGGCTTTATAAAGCGGCACTAATACTTCACGCGATTTTGATTCTATGCCTCTGTTTAAACCACCAAGGATCGTATTGGCCGCACACAGCTGGCTCACGTTTCTTTATCAGTCAATGGCAAAAGGCAGCTTGACTCAGAATAACTGAGACTGAGTTAAAACTGAGATAACTTCATGGAGACCTTAAACCCCATCAAACCTCCACATCTGCCTCTCCCACGTCCTTGAGAAGGACTCGAGGGGTGGATAAAAAATGCTAAATTCACTCTGAACATCTGGCTGATTGTGTGGTGCAATGAACAATAAGAAGTCCAGAATTGGCAGATTTGTACTCTGCAAAACCGAGACGGAAACTCACATACAAATGCAAAAAAATAAATACATAAAATTAAAATGGATTAATGCAACGTGGGTTGCAACCATTGGATGATGTCTCCCACTTCGTCTGGTTGGTGGGGAGTTTTGCCAAAAGAACGAAAAAAATTTTGCAAAAGGCAAGAAAAAAATTTAGAGCATGTACGCGTTAAGAGTTCTGAGTCTTATGTTTCTTTCCTGTAATGTAACGAATAGTCCTCCTTGATTCCCCCAATTCTGGATGGTTCACCCCAAAATTAAACCATCCCACAAATATTGTAAATCATTAGGACAGTTCCATAAGTCGATGCTTGCAGATCCTCGGATCTTAAAGTAGCATCTTGTGACACTCAAAAGATGTCAGGCCATCAAAGTCTCAGAGGGGAGAGGCTGTGAGACGGATGGGGCAGCTGCAGAAAATAGTCTTTCCCAGCCCATCATACAGTCATAGTCCTCGACTTATGACTGCAATCAGGCCCCATATGTCCATTGCTAAGCAAGGCAGTTGTTAAATGAGTTATGACCTTTTTTTTGCCACAATTGTTAAGTCAATGGCTGCAATTACTAAGTGAAGAAGGAAGGAAGAAGAGAAAGAAAAAGAAATAGAAGGAAAAAGAAAAAGAAGGAAGGAAAGAATAAAAGAAAGGGAGAGAGAAAGAAAGAAAAAGAAAGAAAGGAACAAGAGAGGGGATGGAGAGAAAGAAAAGGAGAGAAGGAAAAAGAAGAGGAAGGAAGGAAGGAACAAGAGAAGGGGAGGGAGAGAAAAAGAAAAGAAGAAAAAGGAAAAAAGAAAGGAACAAGAGAGAAAGGGGAGGGAGGGAGAGAAAGAAAGAAAAAGAATGAGAGAAAGGGGAGGGAGGGAGAAAGAGAGAAAAAGAAAGAAAGTTTATTAAGAGAATTGTGCCCAATTTTGCAACTGTTTTTGTCACAGTTGTTAAATTGCTGCAATTGTTAAGAGAGGAAAAGAAAAGGAAAGGAAAGAAGTAAAAGAAAGGGGAAGGAAGGAAGGAAGGAAGGAAGGAAGGAAGGAAGGAAGGAAGGAAGGAAGGAAGGAAGGAAGGAAGGAAGGAAGGAAGATGGTTGTTTAGCGTCTGGTGCTTCATTTAATGACCTGTTTTTGCCACGGTTACTAAACATGCATAAGGAGGTGGGACTGCAACTCACTGTCTCCTGGGGATAGGCCAGCTTTCATGCCTAAAGAGAACTAGAACTCCCAGCCTCCTTGTTTCTAGCCTGGTGCCTGAATCACCCGGCCAAACTGGCATCCCCTTTCCGGTGGGGCATCTCATTTCATTCCATGCATAAAGTAACCAGGATGATGTCGGGTTTGAAAGGAAGGGAAGCCAGTTCCGAAAAATGTCGGTTCGGTTCCCCTCTGCCATTCCTAATCTTAACCGTCGCTTCTACTCCATCATCTACTATAGGTCTCCTGCATAAGTGGGTGGGGATGGGGTTGGGGGTGGACTAGATGACCTCCAAGGTCCCTTCCAACTTTGTTAACATCTCAGATGAAGGGTTTGTGCAATGGCTGCATTACATTGAGGGAACTGAGCAAGGTCCTTTTACATTTCTCTCCTGAATTTTGGTCTCTCCTCTTCTGGATTTCTTCTCTACTCAAGAGTTCCCGCCGAGACTTCCGAAATTTTGGA